ATGGTGATAGTGATGGTCATGGTGTGATGATGGTGACAGTGACGGTGATGGTGATGACAGTGATGGTGATGGTGACAGTCATAGTGATGTGATTGAGACAGTGATGGTGATGATGATGATGGTGATTGTGGCACACTTGAGCTAACTTTTGAGGCCAGCAGCTCCCCCTGCCACTTGCCGGACACCCCAGGCAGCTGCATGCTCTCTGTTCCACTGCCTTCTCCCAGCTCTCGAGCAGTTACTCTCCCAGTCACAGGAAGACATTGAAATGCAGCCATCGTGCCTGGTGTGTGGTTGGGCATTAATTACACCTCCTTTTGCAAAGTTGAATCAGCTTCTCCTAATTAACCTGTTTTCTGTCAGTGTGAGATAATTGGATTCACTCGGAATTGGCTGTGCACACAGAGCCGTCAGAAGCCTACATGGCTCCTTGTAATGGTGGAGATTTTGAAAACAACGCACCTTGTTTTGAAAACACATTTTCAATCCCTGTTGGCTTATGTTCCTCTTCTGCACAAGCTTTCTGGAGCAGGGTTTCTTCATTTCTGGGGGCTGTGAACTTGGACAAGGAAAAGCAGCATCTCTGTTTTACTAAGCTCAAACTGAAATCTGCCATTTCCTCCCGTGAGGAACGCCAGCCATTCCAGGACCTTATCTCTAATAGAAAACACAGATGTGTCTGTGTCACTTTGTGGTGGTTGAAGGTTTTTCAGACTGTCCACGCTCACCTCAACCTCTAAACCTCAGGGGCTCTGGACGCTGGGCTGTGTTCTCCAGAGCAACGTGGAATGCAGCCAGGCCACCCCCCACGTCTGCTTTGTGGCTATTCTGACATCTGTTTCACTACGACTGTCTTCCTTGGTAGTCGGACGTCTTTCTGTCAGTAATGAATGGTAGAGCGCAGGGATTCTTAGGGCAGTGAAATTATTCAATATGACGCCGCGATGGCAGACACACGCATCACGCGTTTGTCAGAACTCACGGATCTACAGCAGCGCTCCCCAGTGCTTTTGGTGCCAGGGACCAGTTTTATGAAAGACATTTTTTCTACAGACCAGAGGCTGGGGGGTGATCTGGGGATGAAACTATCCCACCTCAGATCATCAGGCAGTAGATTCTCATGAGGAGCTCGAAGCCCAGCTCCCTGGCATGGGCAGTTCACAGTAGACTCTAACGCTGCTGCTGACCTCACGGGAGGCGGAGCTCGGGTGCTGACGCCTGCCTGCCCCGCTCCCCTGCTGCTGTGTGGCCTGCTTCCTAACAGGCCATGGACTGGCACCAGTGCCAATGCAAACGATGGGCGTGACAGGCACTGTGGGTGGGGGTGCAGGAGACTCTCTGTGCTACCTGCTCCCGGCTCTGTAAACCAAAAACTGCTCTCCAAAATAGTCTGTTTACTTTTTTAAAACAAACTATTAATTATGAAAAAAATTATCCCCATGCTGCCAAAACGCTCCCCGCACAGGGAGCACTGCAGATGCCCCAGGGACAGGACAGCTGGCCTCGGCTCGGCCAGCCCAGCCCCTCGCCAGCAGGCATGCAGCCTATGTCTGCCGGAACAGGGGAGCAGTACTGGCCTTTGTCCTGCGGCAGCGTGCGCCGCCTGGGCCGCCACAGTCCCTGGCTCTATGGCCAGGTACAGCCACCACAGTGGCCCTGCAAGGAACGGGCTTTTCGGCATCCACACGGCATGTGCACACGCATGGGTCCACCATCGCGCACACGTGTCGGCGTCAGCAGCCCCACTCTAAGACAGGCCCAGCAGGCTCCATCCCCGCTCTGAGGATCTGAAATTCTTCCTTAACCTAAATCTTTTCCACTCAAAACACACACGTGTTTTGTCATGTTCACAGTCATTACATTCACAGTAATTAAACCAAAAAGCTCATTTCTGGAAAGAGACAAAAGTATTTTGAGTTTCTACATCAATATTTAACATCTGCCTGGCATTCTACATACTGCCCTGTGGGTAAAACGATTCCTACTCTCCATAAAGATGAACTCAGCCACGAATCCCTAGAGAAAGAAAGACATTTTCTTGTGAGAATAAGCTGTAGCATCTGTCTTAACGTAGAGTTTGATAGGGTTTTCTTTTTCTTGTTTTAAAATCTCAGAACCAAATTCAGTTCAACGATCAAGCTAAATGATTAGCCCACTTCAGAGCCAATGTGTCTGAAGTTGGAATTTAACACATTAAACATTTCAGGGGAAAAGTGCCAAGTGTGAGACAGAAAGGTGGCTTCCTCTGGAACAGCCTGCAGTGGTCGGAGGAAAATGTACCAGTTAGCAGGGGCTTCAATCACTCCAATGTGACTGCTCAGAACATGTGCTGGATGAGAAAGGAATACTACGCTCCCCTTCCTGCACAAACCAAGCCACACAGAACAAAACTGCAGGCCAGGAGGACATGCCAGGGCCTGTAAGGACAGCGCTGGCCGGTGCAGACCCCACACGCCGGGTCCCTGTGCTCGTGCCCATCCACAGATGCCCTGGGGACACAAATGCTGAGGGCATGCCCAGGGAGCGGGTGAAGGGGAAGCACTAAGGCAAGTACTACCTGCAGGGATACCCGGCTTGAGCCTGCCAGAGCACGTCTGCCTGGGACCGGGCTTCCGGGACCCCACCCCTGAATGCCAGGCTACCCGGGCAGAGGACAGGCTGTGGGAATGGGCCTCAAGCCCTTGTTGGTCTCCTCTCCAGCCACAGTGGGACATGCTCTGATGGGGTGGTGGGGCCCTACTCACCCCGTGGGCAGTCACTGGTTAGAGACACCCCGGCTGCCTGGGTGCCCAGGCCAGGCCTCCCCAGGGTCTGTGTGCATCCTATTTGAAGTCCCCACCATGCCCCCTGCCCTCTCCCCAGCTGCTCTGGTGGGTGGGGTGCTGGCCTACCAGGGTGGAGCAGGGCCTCCCGAGACACCAGGAAGCTCAGCACCTGCTCTTCAGGCTGAAGCTGGCAGCTGTACCACATCCACTTGCCTGGGACTGCAGAGCACAACCTGGCACCTTTCTGAAGATGACACACGTGATCACGACCCACAGGACCCAGAGGCTCCACCCCAGGGTGAGCCCAAGAGAAGCAAAAACACAGAGCCACACAGAGACTGCAAGAAAGTTCACGGCAGCTTTACGCACAGCAGCCAAAAGGCAGACAGCCTGACTGTACCAGTTAGCAGAGGCTTCAATCACTCCAATGTGAGAGCCCAGACTGACAGATGGACAGACACCGTGTGCTCACCCATGTGGGGAGCGTCATTTGACATAGAAAGGAAGGGGGCACGGAGACACACTCAAACATGGGTGCATCGGGAAAGAGCTGTGCTTGGCTAAGGAAGCCAGACACGCCACACACGACCTCACAGCACACGGATCCCATGTTACACACGACGGTGTATCACACACACAGATCACACGTGTTACAATCATGAATTACACACAACCGCATGTCATACAGGACACGTCATACACCATCGCATCTCACACACAACCACACGTCACATGGATCCCATGCACACGATGGCGCATCACACACAACCACGTGACATGGGATGCATGTCACACACAATCGTATCTCACAACCACATGGCACACAGATATCCCATGTTACAGGCGATGGCGCATCACACACAATCACATCTTACACACAACCACACATCACATGGATCCCATGCACACGATGGCGCATCACACACAACCACGTGACATGGGATGCATGTCACACACAATCGTATCTCACAACCACATGGCACACAGATATCCCATGTTACACGCGATGGCGCATCACACACAATCACATCTTACAACCACACGTCACACGGATCCCATGCACCCGACGTCGGATCACACACAACCACGTGACGTGGGATGCATGTCACACACAATCGTATCACACACAACCACATGGCACACAGATATCCCATTTACATGCGATGGAGCATCACACACAATCACATCTTACACACAACCACACATCACATGGATCCCATGCACACGATGGCGCATCACACACAACCACGTGACGTGGGATGCATGTCACACACAATCGTATCTCACACACAACCACATGGCACACAGATATCCCATGTTACACGCGATGGCGCATCACACACAATCACATCTTACACACAACCACATGTCACATGGATCCCATGTTATACGCGATGGCGCATCACACACAATCACATCTTACACACAACCACACGTCACACGGATCCCATGCACACGATGGCGCATCACACACAACCACGTGACATGGGATGCATGTAACACACAATCGTATCTCACACACAACCACATGGCACACAGATATCCCATGTTACACGCGATGGCGCATCACACACAATCACATCTTACACACAACCACACGTCACATGGATCCCATGCACACGATGGCGCATCACACACAACCACGTGACGTGGGATGCATGTCACACACAATCGTATCTCACACACAACCACATGGCACACAGATATCCCATGTTACACGCGATGGCGCATCACACACAATCACATCTTACACACAACCACATGTCACACGGATCCCATGTTACACGCGATGGCGCATCACACACAACCACGTCATGTCATACACAATCGCATCTCGCACACAACCACACGGCACACAGCTATCCCATGTTACACACAACCGCAGGTCACATGGAACAGCAGAAGGGGGAACTTCCCAGAGACAGCAGACGAGGCACTGCCGGGGCCTGGGGTGGAGGTGGCCCTGGAAGTTGCTGGCTTCTTTCCGGGGGGAGGACAATGTTCTGAAGGGCCTGTGGGGAGGCTGCAGGTCTGTAAACACACTGCGAACCGTGGAGTCTCCTGGAAGGGGAGGAATCCTATATGTGAGTCATGTCTCAAATAGAGCTGTGGGACTCCTGGTGCTTGTCCCTGTCACAAATCCTCACCCCAAAATCACACGGCGAACACCTCAAATAAATCATTAGGGCTGTTCTCTTTGTAGTAAGCCGGCACTCAGAGAAATCCATGCTTGAAACTGCTCCAAACAGATCAGGGGTCAAGGCCTGGTTGATCTTCACTGCAGCTGGTCCCTGTAAATGTTCTCTGCGTCTGCCTGTGCCGTCTGCTGCGACTGTCCTCTCTGGGGCTCCCATGGGGGCTGTGGGCTGGACAGGGTCAGGAGGGAGGGGACGGACAGCTGGGAGGACGACACCTACACCTCCGCAGTGACAGGAGACAGGCGTTGGCTTGGGCAGAGCTTCGGTGACCTGCCCAGGTTTCTTCCCCAAATCAGGCCCCAGCTGTGTCTGCAGCCCTCATGCCCCAAAGCCCTCTCCTCTGCAGGGGGACATCCCTCCTGCCTGGCTGTCAGGCCTCAGGCAGCCGGGACGCAGCCCTCCACCAGCTCCCGGCTCCCACAGAGAGGCCTGCAGCCCAGGGGCAGCTTCCACTGGGCCTCCTGGACCTGTGACCCCAGCCACGCTGCCCACACCCACTGTACCGCCCCTCACAGTCCTCCCCCAGGCCCTCAGCCCCCACAGGCCTCTGCCTCCCCATCCTGGTGCCCCTCCACTGTCTGTGGGTCTCCATGGGTCACCTCGCTGCCCTGCTTATCTCCACGTCCTGGTGCCCTCCCCCCTCTCAGGGTCACCCTACTGCTCCCTCATCTCCCCATCCCGGTTCCCCTCTGCCCTCCAAGGGTCATCCCAGCTACCCCCTCATCTCTCAGGCCTTGTCCCTGCCCAGCAGTGAGTTGGGTACTGGGTCCACTCCGGGTCCTCCCGACTGCCTTGGGACGATCTCTCTCACCGCCCCAGCCCCCGCAGCCTCCCTCCCCTGCCCCTCTCAGCCTCCCTTCCCAGCCCCTTCAGTCTCCCTCCCCAGCCCCTGCAGCCTCCCTCTCCAGCCCCTCTCAGCCTCCCTCCCCAGCCCCTGCAGCTGTGGACACTGACCTGGCTATGGGGCTCCTAGGACAAGCCCCTTAGGCTCCAGGCCTTCGGCCCTGCCCCCGAATCACACCCAGGAAGGAAGAAAGCCCCCACTGTTCCGCCTTGAGGGGTCAGCCATGCCCGCCTGTGCAGGGAAGCCCTCCTGCCTCCCTTGGTGGGTGGGGAACTGGCCGCCCTGGGCAAGGCCTGAGGGCCTCACCCGCCTCCCTCTGCGGATCAGTCTGGGGCTAAAAATAACTGCTGGGGCAGAGGCTGGCTGGTGAGGCCGCCTCCGCAGGGTGGGGGGTGGGATGGGAGACAGGCCTGGGACAGCCTCAGCAGGAGTCCAGGGGCAGTGGCAGGAGGGCTGCTGACCTGACCTCCCACTGCAGAGAGGCTGGAGCAGGGAAGAGTAAGTATGTCTGGGGTGAGGGTCGGGGGCCCCCCAGCTGCAGCCCCCACCTCCACTTCCAGCCCGGTATTGATCGGCTTGAAGCTCCCTGGGGCATAAAGGAGCTTAACCCTCCTGAGCAGAGGATGGCCGCCCTCAGGCCAGAGCAGGACCCCATCTGCGTGGGCCCCTCCCAAGCGCACCTTTCCCATGGCTGGGGGTGGGGCTGGGGATGCAGGGTGCAGGGAACCCAGCGGGAGAACCCAGCCCCGCCAAGGCCCTCCCTCAGTGTCCACAGGGAGATGCCTGTGACCCCAGGCAGCTGTTGGCACCTCGGACCTAGGGCAGGAAGGGGAGGGAGCCCCCTGGCCACAGGAAGCCACGGAAGGGTGAGTTGGGCACGGAGCTTCCAGGGTGGCACAAGGCCAGGTCTGCAGAGCAGACATCTGTTAATGCCCAGAAAACTCCCCGGGAAGAAACGGGCAAAGGCCGCCAGGGTGGGAGACTGGGGGAGATTCTAATGCCTTTTTTTTGCCTTTCAATTTTCTACCACCAACAGGGGTCTATTTTACAATCAAAGAAACAAAAACCCTTCAGAAAAGGGTCCTGGCCGCAGTGCCATCCCGGGCACGGTTTGGAAGGCCCCTGGGCTTTGGGGTCCAGGAACCAGCTGTGGCCCCTCAGTCTCAGCCTCCCTAGCTGGAATGCAAAGTGCACACCCCCAGGGAGGACTCCTCACCTGCTCTTGCCCCTCCCGCTCCTCCCTGTCTCTCCCCAGCCATCCACCCCTATCCACCAGGGCCAGGGCTGCAGCTCTGCCACCCCAGGCCACGCCAGTCCCTGCTGCCTAGCTCTGTCTAGAGTGGGTTGGAAGTGTGACCTTCAGAGGCAGGGACTGGGGCTCAGTCTGGGACCAGAAACAGACCATGGTCCCCCCACCTGCCACCCCGAGTACCCCCCATCTTCCACCCCGAGTTCCCTCACCAGCCACCCCGTGTCCCCCCACTTTCCACCCTGTGTCCCCCCATGCGGCCTGCTCCATGTCCAACACAATGACAGCTGGCGAGGAGGGACGGCGGCCCTGGTGGGGACGAGATGCTGGTGACCCTGTGGAGCTCATCATTCCAGCAGTGACTTCCTGCTCTCAGATGAGTCAGCCCAGGCCCCCAGCACAGCAGCTACTGGGGCCACACACGAACCCCCACCCCAAAGCCCCTTTGAAGGTGAAAGGGACAGAGCTCTCTCCATGACAAACCCTGGGTAGACAGCCAGGGCTGGCGCCACCCAGCTCTGTTCTGAGCGAGGAGGTCTGTGGCTGGGATCCTTGGGAGGCCGGACCCAGAGCGGGGCAGACCTGAGCAGGAGAGGCCCAGCACCAGCTCCCAGCAGCCCTGCGGAGGCCCCAACTCTCCCCACCCCACACTCCACTTTGCACTCAGGACCTCGTACTGACTAGGCTGACTCCCAGGGTGCTCCCTCCTATCGAGGTACTGAGCCCTGCTCCCTTCCCAGCATGAATTCTTTCCCAGCTCAGCCTTTCTGGGGAGTCCATGGGTGGAAGGGTGGGGATTCAGGACCTGGTCCTGCCCGACCTGACCGCTGGGTACTGGCAGCCAGGGAGCCCACCTCCATGGGTCTCCACTCCTCGGATGAAAGCCCCGCCCCTGGCTCGCAGGGATTCAGGGTTGAAGGGCACAGGCTGGGGCTGGGCCTCAGGGGCTCGCAGGGGTTCAGGGTTGAAGGGCAAGGGCTGGGGCTGGGCCTCGGGAGGAGCTGCAGGAAGTGTTGTCAGTCCTGGCCTCAGGCTGGGAGGGAGGTCCAGTGGTTCCCACCTGCAGGGCTGGGAGGCAGGCCCAGTGGTTCCCACCTGCAGGGCTGGGAGGCAGGTCCAGTGGTTCCCACCTGCAGGGCTGGTCTCTAGCCGCTGGCTCCGCAGCTGGGAGTGAACGTGCCCGGGCTGCACACATCTTTTGTCCCAGGGGTGAGGCCTGCTCCTTCCCTGGGACACACACATTTCTTGAAGCAGTGCCAAGCGTTACCAAGGCCCTGCCACGTCGCTGCCTCAGCACTTCCCCCAAATCCAGGCAGCACCCCAGCGGCAGGGCAGGCAGAGGCAGCCCCGGGCACCGGAGCCCAGAGGACATCCTTGAGGGTCAGGGCCCTGACTCTGCGGCACCCACGTGGGCAGGGCCAGGAAGGGAGAGGGGAGGGCAGAGCCACTCTTATTCCTCCCACGTCTGTGCTCTCCTCTCCTTGAGCCCCTCCCTGGATTTTCAAAAGCTTCCGAGGCCCCTTGGACCTGGAGGGCCTCAGATGAGCCCAGCCCCTCCAGGAGGAAGTGTTTCTGGGTGGTTTTGGTGGAGAAAAAGGCTCTGCTGCTACAAATAGGTTTGAAAATCACGCTCCTCCCACGTCAGGTCCAGGACCACAGGAAACCACGAGGGTCGTCCCCAGCGCCTTCTGGAGAGGCCCTCCAGGCAGGTACTTCCCCCCCACCCCCACACGATCCTTGATGAGGACAGTGATGCCTTCAGAGCACAGAATGTTCTAGCAAAACCTGAAACAAGCAAAGCCACCATTATCGTCTCTGGGATGTCCCTTGGTTCTGAATGAGCAAATCAAGAAACAGATGAGAGGTTTCACTCGAATAAACAAGGAACAGAGCTCCCCACGTGCAGAGCACCGCTTCAACCCGGAAACCCCAGTGTCCACTGCAAAGCCAGCAGGGAGGCCTGGAGACGGGGCCTCAGCCCACAGCCCTCCTGGGGCTCAGGGCCGTGGCCAGCATCCCTCCTGGAGGCAGCCGGCGGGGGCGGCACCCACACCCGTGCGACCACGGGCCCCGCACAGCACGCCCAGGGGAAGTCACAACTTCAGCAACGGCGACAGCTTTCTCCTTATTTTTCTTTTTACGTTTAAACAAAGAAAGAGCAGATTAATTTTTTTCTTTTCTTTCTTTATTCTTTTTGGTCTTTAAAGTGACAGAAAGGAGGAAAAGGAACGCGCTCTTACAGAACAGAGCAAGTTTCTTCTTTCACTGTTGAAGCCTGGTTTCCCGGGGTGGCCCTTCGCCTCCTCCACACAGTACTGGTCACTCGTAGCAGCATCTGGGGGACAGGTGGCCTTGCAGGCCTGGTGCTGGGTGCCCAGGGGGCCCCACCATCTGGGATGAACTCGGAGCGGGAGACGGCGGGTGTGCACAGAGACCCCGCACCCAAGGGCTGGGGAAGAACCCCACACGTGCAATTGGGATTTTCCGAAGCCCGAAGGAGACCAAGCTGAGCCTGCAAGACGGCTGTGTCTGGAACAATGAGGTGGGGCACAGCCGCCCACACCAGCAGCTGGGTGAGGCTGGGGTGCCAGGCCTGGCTCCCCCACGGGTCCTGGTCCTCAGTGCGCAAGGCAGCAGGCAAGCCTGGAGCGGCAGGCCCACTTCCTCCACGGGACCCCAGCCTACCAGGCAGCAGCAGCAGCCAGCAAGTCACGAGTTCCGGGGCAGCCACAGGCTGAGTGGCGGGAAGAAATAGACTCAGCGGGAGGAGCCGCTGGGCTCAGGGCCATCCCCTCCCTGGACACACCACTGGTCCCGGGGGCCTCACGTCAGGCCGACCACCACGCCCAGCGGGCTCTGCACGCAGCCGGCCAGAAGGCTGGAGGAGTCCCTGGAGGGAGGCCGGAAGCTCCCGGACAGCAGGTGCGCCCTCGTCGTCGCTGACCTTGGGAGAAGCAGAAAGAGGCAGAGGCTAACTCAGGGTTGAATACGGGGACCAGCCCCTTCAGGTCTGAGCACGAGGCCAGGGTGCCCCTAGAGGGTCTGAGGCTCACCCGGGACCCCCCAGCACCCCCTAGCGCCTGCCAGCTCTCAGCACTCCAGTGTCCCACCTCCCTCAGTGCCCACAGCCGGGCTGTGCTGGGGGAGAGTGCAGGGTCTTCCTTGCTCGGGAACTCAGACCATAGGACTCGCCCTGAGGTCCCGAGGTCCACAGGCACAAAACGCAGGGCTGCAGAGAAGCCAGTGGATCTGGCGCCTTGTGGCCTCTGGTGGGGGCTGATGGCCATGTCTGTGCTGGGCTCATAGTGCAGAGGGACACCCATGCATGACTGTCTGGGGACCCTCGCCTTGCATTGATGGCCCCGTGGAGACCCAAGCCTGGGGAGGAGCCCCAAGCGCCTTCTACCAGGACACATCCTCACACACAGGGGGTGGTCCCAGGGTGGGAGGGACAGAGAGGCCCTGAGAGGAAAACCCTTTCCCAGGTCTGTGCTTCCAGCGCTCCCCACTTGAGCCCATACAGGCCCCGATGGCCACCCCTGGCAGAGAGGACTGGCTGGACAGATGGTTCCCTTAGCCCGGAGACCCAGGGCCAACCCTGGGCCCTGAAAAAAGCAGCCCCCAAATCCAACAAACGGAGGGACAGACACCGTCAGCTTCAGTTCTCCACCAGCCAGTGGGCAGAAAGGGCAGGGATGGGAAAGGGAGCAGAGCTTGTGGAAGCCCAGGGCACAGTGCATGATGCCAGCCCTGCCGCTCCTCCTGCCAGGAGGGGGGTGCCCTGTGGGCCCTGACTGACCACAGCAGGGCCGGAGGGACCTGCTCCATCCTGGCACCGCTGAGAGGTCCCTGGAGGAACCTGCCCCATCCGGGCCCCTCTGAGAGGCCGCCGGAGGGACCTGCCCCCATCCCGGCCCTGCTGAGATGCCGCCGGAGGGACCTGCCCCATCCCAGTCCCACTGAGAGGCTGCTGGAGGGACCTGCCCCCATCCCGGCCCTGCTGAGAGGTTGCTGGAGGAACCTGCCACGTCCCGGCCCCGATGAGAGGTCCCTGGGGGAACCTGCCACATCCCGGCCCCACTGAGAGGCTGCTGCCACTTCCAGTGCTGCACTCAGGGAAGCCCTGAGCTGCCACGGGAGAAACTGCAACCACCCTGAGACCACCATGCCGTAAGGAAGCCCAGCGGCATGCGGGGAGGCCTGGAGGGCACCTGCAGGTGAGTGCTGTGTGAGCGTGAGGGTGGATGTGTGAGTGCGAGTGATGAGGCTTCTTTCTCGTCATACTGGGCATTCCTGATGACACTGAAAACACTTCGAAGAGCAGCACCAAGCCAGGATCAACACCGCAGAGAAGAAAGGGCCGGCACCACCTGTCATCCTCAACACAGACAGGCCAAAATCATTCATATAAACACCAAGGCTCGAGTTAGCCAAACACGTGTGTGTGTGTGTGTGTGTGTGTGCGCGCGCACGTGCACTTCTGTGAACAGTGCAGATCTCAGCCTCATCTTCATAGAAAAAGGCCGTCACCAATGTCTAAATCGAAAACTCAAGAATCAAGGAGCAGCAGAAGTGCAAGGTCTAGAAACATGAAGGTGGATTCTTGTCATTACATCCTGCACGTGATCACTGGACTTTCAAAAGCTGAATGTTAGGCCGGGCGCGATGGCTCACGCCTGTAATCCAAGCACTTTGGAGGCCAAGGCGGGCGGATCACCTGAGATCAGGAGTTCAAGACCAGCGTGACCAATATGGTGAAACCCCGTCTTTAAAAAAATAAAATAAAATAAAATAAAAGCTGAACGTCACAGTAAGATTGACAAACACACAGATTAAAGAGAAGCTGCATTTCGGACCATCTCCCCTTCATATCCGAGGGGCTGCGGGAAGCTGAGGGTCTCCATAGAGAATCTGCACAGCCCTGAGCAGTGGTGGCCCAGGCTCTCCCCATGTTGGCCCCCAGGCAGCCCCTCCGCTCAGGCGTGGGGACGCCCAGGACCCACCCTGTACCTTCCTCCAGGCAGCTGGTGCAGGGCCAGCAGGTGGGGCTCAAGGATTCCTCTGCTAAGGCCCAGCCTGGGCTGGTGGGGACACCTGGCCTCCCCAGGCCTGCCAGCACGAGGCCATACCCGGCCCAGAGAAGACCCTGGGCAGGAGGGGTGAGGAAGACCCCAGTGCAGTGATGCCAGAGCCCCAGAGTGTGGTGCTTTGGGGCATGTGGCAGCGCCAGGCAGTGGGGAAGGAAGGGTGCGTGTCCTACCCCCGTCTGAATGGGTCACGATCCTGAAGGTCAGAAGGGGCCGCCATCTGCAGTGATCCCAGCACAGCACACACACACAGGCTCAGTCCCTCAGTGCCCCAGGCTTGGGGAGGTGACCTGGCCCCATACAGAAGCCGGACTTTGGGGTACACAGGAGGGTCCCCATTTCCTGACCTTTTGTGTCCCAGCTGCCCCGGGGGCTCCATCACAGCCCCCATCCCAGGAAGCACCCCCAGCGTTGGGGGAAGCAGGCCGGAAGCTGTGGAGTGTCACAGACAACACGAGTTCTCAGCCGTCTCCAGAAGGGCCCACACCACGCTGCAGCATGTGGAGGGGACTCGACCCTTGCCACACACACACCAGAAAGACCTCGCTGAGCCCCGCTTAGGAGACCCTCCAACCCCACTCCCGGGTACAGGGGAGCAGGGGCGGAGAAGCCCCGCCTGTGAGTGCTGCAGCCACACCTCACAGGGCACGGCCTCCAGGCTTCTCAGGAAGGAGCCAGCACCACTCGTGCGTGCATGCAGTCGTGGGGGTGGCCGGTGCCCACCTCTCATGCTCAGGAGCTCTGTGGCAAAACATGCCACTCTGGGAAAGGTCGTGTGTGTATTTGCTAGTGGCCTCCTTTCCTGGGACCACCGCCAAGTAACAGCCCCAGGTGGCAGCCCTTGAGGACCGGGGCTGTTCTTCCTCTGCAGGTACTCCCAGGACAGGGGTGGACACGTGGCCCCACAGCAGCACTGCCCCGGCTGCAGCAGGGGTGGTCAGGGTGCTTGGGTGAGGAGACACAGGGATCTGCCTGAAAGCGGGGCCGCTTGCCCTTGAATGCCTGGTGAGCAGAGGGAAGCCCCAGGCCCGGCCCCACAGAGAGGATGAGGATGGCATGAGGGCAGCAGTGCTCACAGCCCTGGTGGTCAGGAAGACAGGGAGCCTCAGGGAACAAATGCCAGGCGGGTGCGGCCATGTGTCTGGGCCCCGTGCGCCTGTGATGTGGCACCACGGGGAGCCTCTTCTCTCAAAAGGTCAAGGAGCTTTTTCCCCTGAGGCGGGGACCCCATGAGGCCCGGGGCCCTGCTGGCTGGGTGCAGTGCCCTGAGGTGGCCGGGTCTCCTCCACCAAGAACTGTAGTCAAACAGTACCACCCACGGCCCTGGACCAGCTGCCCAGCCCAGCCCTGATCACACTCCCTGCAGAGAGGTCAGGCTTCGTCCATACCTGGCCAGGCAAGGGCAGAGGCCTGGAGCAGATGCTGCACCTACACAGCCTGGGGCAGAGGTTCCTGCCTGACTGGGCAGCCACTGCATTCCTTGCCTGGCAGAGTCACCACCTGAGGGCCCTGGAGACATCCACAGGGCAGACTCGGGCAGAGGTCCGGGAGCCTGGGAGGTGTGGGGTCCAGCGCCCTGGGATGAGATGCCCAGTTTTCTCGCTGAGACACTAAGAGGAGGCAGACGGAGTCCTGCCTGGGCTGCGGGTACCACCGCCTGGCCGAGAGTGTTCTTGACCAACAGCGCCCTGCACCCAACTCGCCTGATCTCTGTGGTGTTGGGGGGCTCCTGGGGACACAGTTGGCCAGCAGCACCAACAGCCACGGCACCCACAGCACAGCCTGGGTGCCTCCACAGCAGTCGGGGACCAGGGGCGTCCCACACACAATTTTCACCTCGACAAGCACCCAAGTGCTGTCCCTCACTGCCCCCAGACCAGGCCCAAGCCCGGGGGTGCCAGACCCAACCCAAGGCCATTCAGCAGCTGTGTTGTGAAGCCAGACCTGACCCCCCCACGCTAGTGTTGCAGAGAGGCTGGAACAGAGGCCCAGAGACCGGGGCTCAGAACACAGGCATCTGCTCTCCAGCTCAGGGGAGGGCCCTTCCCCCCTTCCAGAAGCTCCTGGCTTTCCTGGGCTCATGACTGCGTCCCTGTGAGCTCTGCCTCTGTCTCCACAAGGCCGTCTCTGTGTCTCCGAGTCTCTGTGTCCAAATCTCCCGCTTCTCATGACGGCACCAATCATTGGATTTAGGACCCACCCTCATCCAGTACAACCTCATCATAACTTGATTCCATCTGCAAAAACCCCACTTCCAAGTAAGTCCAGTTCACAGGGACTAGGGCGGACCCGAACATGTCTTTTGGGTGACATGATTCAACCTACTATCCCACCCCAACAAGATGGCACAATGGAGGTCCGGTGGGCAGTCCCACCCAGGGCCCAGGACAGCACCGCGCACTCTGGCACCCACAGCAGTTGTATGGGTAGGAGTGGCGTGTGTGCAGGTGGGTAGGTACTGAGTGCACGGGGGTTCAGGTGCACGTGCACATAAGGGAGACCGCAGGCATGAGTGAGCAGGTGCAGGTATGTGTCTGAGTACGGGGTGTGTGCACAAGTTCACGCGTGTGGGTGTGTGTGCGTGTGCATCTGTAGGCAGGCTAAGCAACAGCCAGAGAAAGCTGAGAGCTGCCAGGGCACTGACGGTGACTCCTGAGCAGAGCCACGTGCCAGAGCCTCAAAACCACGAGGCTTCACGGTCTCCATCCTGGAATAATGTCCTCCGACCCTGTGCGAAACGTTTGCCAGGATTAGAGCTGGTCACGCAAACCCTTTCCTATAAAGACCGTTTTCCATTTCTCTGGAGGAAAAGGCAGCTGTGAGAATGCCACCTGAGCCACCCGCTCCATGGATGACA